CAATATTATTATCATTATTATTACTATTATTTTATTATCATTATTATTGTTATTATTATTATTATTATTAACTTTATTTTATACAGAAGTGTGTTTTCTCTCTACTGGAGCACGTTAACTATAATCCTTCCAGTTCTGAATGACTTATCACTGAAACTTTTCCTGTCCATTTCAGCGTATTAAGTTCTGCGAAAGCGAGCCTTGTCCTACGTCTTTGTTCCTGGCCCGGCCTTCCTCCTGCTCATGAGCTGTCCACCTGAATCATCATTACGGAACGCATTTGTGGAGGCCAGATTGCTTGCAGGTGCTCCAGCTTCCCCGAGGTAACAGGCAGGCGAATGTAATCAACAGCTACACATTGGACGACCAGAAAGCCTCTTATATAGACACTTTTCGACCATTAATTGGAGATATAATGGTGACGCACATTGCCAATCTCGACCCGTTCGAACCCATGCTATCGAACCCGTGGCTCCAATTCCGGTTTCATCCAGATGATTAGTGAATTCTTCACCCACTCTTCGGCTGTGAATGGGAATAATGTCATATATTTTTTCTTCTTTCTTTCTTTCAGTGGTTTCTTCAACTACGAAGGGATCTTTTCAGCTATGGTTTTGCAGAAGATTTTTTTTTTTATTAACGGGTGATGGGGTTCATTCCAGACCCAAGTGATCGATTGGCTACATTTTCACTGCGATGTTAAGTTTGTAAGACAAAGAAGCTGGCACTAGATTAAACCAGTTTCCGTCCTTCTCATACAATTAAAGAATATATATGTATAAATATAATTCGAAAGAAATTGATAGAAATACAATACGATTTCCGTAATGGAAGAGGGGACACAGAGGTATATCAGTTTATTTTTCTCCCACATAACAAAAAAAATATATATTTTGACTTTTAGTTAACACAGGTTGATCGCAAGATATCAACTAAAAGGTCATTTCTCTCTCTTTAATAACAATACAATTCTAAATGTATACGTAATCTGTAATGTAGGCTTCAATTTCTTTATATTCAGTGTCATTTGTAAATAACTTAATACTTTGCCAGTACATCATTCATGTTGATTTATCAATTTATTTAATTTAGAATCTCATGTTTTGACAGGTTATCAATAGTAGGAGGGCTCCAATTTAGTAATTACAGTAATGATGATGGGAAGAAAGTAATTATCACTATTATTATTATTATCATAATCCTTATTAGTATCGTTACTATTATCATTACCATTATTATTATCATTATTATTATTATTATTATTATCATTACTATTATTATCATCATTATTATTATTATCATTATTATTGTTATCATTACTATTATTATCATCATTATTATTATCATTATTACTATTACCATTATTATCAATATTATTATCATCATCATCATTAGCATCATTATCATTATTTTCTATTATTGCTGTTGTTGTTATTATCATTATTATTGTTGTTATTACTATTATCGCCATCATTATTATTATTATTATTATTTTCTTTGCTATCATTATTATCATTTCATCACAATAATGATAATAATAGCAATAACAAAAGCAACTACAGTGAAAGTAATTATTATAATAATGATGTAATGGTGATGATGATGATAAAAAAGAAGAATGGTAACAGTAATAATGATAATAATTATCATAATATTGATAATGATATAATTGACCATTTTATGATAAATGATTATCAAAAACATTATGATAATAATAAAAATAGTATTGGTAATCAAATATATATATATATATATATATATATATATATATATATATATATATATATATATGTATATATATACATATGTATGTATATATATAAACATAAATATATATATATATATATATATATATATATATATATACATATACATATATATATATATATATATATATATATATATATATATATATATACTTATATATATACACACACATGTGTGAGTATATATACACATATATTATATATATATATATATATATATATATATATATATATATATATATATATATGTATATATATATATGCATGTATATGCACATATATACATATACATACATATACATATACACACATACATATATATACATATGTATATATATTTGATTATATATATGTATATAAAGGCATATATATATACATACACACGCACACACATGCATGTGTGTGTGGGTATATATGTATATATATATATATATATATATATATATATATATATATATATATATATATATACATATGCATATATATATATATATATATATATATATATATATATATATATATATATATATGTGTGTGTGTGTGTGTGTGTGTGTGTATGTGTGTGTGTGTGTGTGTGTGTGTGTGTGTGCATATATATAGTTGAGGATAAGCCTATTTTCGTAATTTATGACATGTGGTCTGAACGTTTGTCTCCAAGTGTTAGTTTTGTTTTATTCGTTTTTTACTCTTTTCCCTTGCTATTTTCTTATTTCTTCTACTTTTGCTATTTTCGCCGGCCTACCAGCATAGCTTTAGTCAAGGCCTAATTTTCGAGGTCTCAGCATCACCTTGTTTTACGAAAACTGTTGATTAATCTTTCCTGTATAAACTTATGGTGTTTTATGTTAGAACTCTAAAAAGGGAATTTTTATGACAGTTCTACTTATGTGAGGTTCTGATAGGCCTATTAATGTGTCAAGAGCCTAGCAAGGGATATTCCAAACCCTCTATCGACTGGCATGATAATGTTTAGGAAATGTGATTAGCGATAATATCTGGTGTCATTTACAATGTTTACACTTACAATATTTGCATTACTCTCATGAAGGGTGCTCAGGTCCAGGGGTATACTATGTGATTCAGAAGAAAAGAATATGGACGAGGCATCGGCGTAGGGGCATTTATAATTTAGGGGGGGGCTGCAAATTTTCTGCCCGAGTGAAAGAGGAAGAGAAATTTCACCTGCCAGAAAATTTGTGATGAATGCCACCAGTGGCGTAGATAGAGGGGGTGGGGTGGGGGGGGGCGAAAAACCCACCTATAAGGCTAAACTGCCATTTTGTCGGAAAATTTCTGCACTTGTCGGAAAAATAACGACGATTTTCTGTTTCGTTTAGTTCTAGTGGCCTTATGTTATGTTCAAAATAATCGAAAATGAGAATGTGTCAATTTTTTGTCGGGATATCTTCATTTCTCGCCCCCTCTATGAATTTTCCTATCTACGCCCCTGCCCAAAATTGCCCGAATTCAACCAGCATTTACCCGACTGGGGGGGCTGCAGCCCCCCCAGCCCCCCTGGCTCCTACGCCTATGGGACGAGGTTGTTTCAGTGCGATTTTTTTTGGTCTGGAGTGTAACTACCGTAGAGTTTTATGTGCTCAAAGAAAGTCTAAATTATTTGTATTTCATTTTTAACTTAACCGTTCCTGAAAAGACATTTTACTTGGGGTGAAGTTTCCACATATATCGACTGCATTTCATTATCCATTACATAACTACATTCTACAAGAAAATCCTCAGTAACGTGTTGTATTGAATAAGAACTTGTTTCCCATAAGCCGAATGCGAATGTCAATTGCATATTCATTCGACTCACGTGAAACACCTAAAATATATATTTATCTTAAGCATTTGATTGTGTGTGTAGGGGGGGGGGGTTGCAGGGAATGCGTGTGGTGTGTGTACACCCGTAAGTGCGAGGAAAATATAAACTTGTTTTGAATGAATTTAACGCCGTTGAACACAATCAAATCTTACGAACCTCTCAGCCTCATGTTCAGTGAGGCTGACTGGTTCATGTGTAACTGATTTATATAGCAATTCATTTGAACAACAAAATATTTAATAATAGCCAATGATAACTTGGTGTTTTATTAACTATCACGAATAGGCACAGTGGAAAACAGATTAATATCAGGCGGAGAAGAGTAACGTTTGGGGAAATGGAGATTGAAGGGCGGGGATGTGATATTGGAGAAGGGAATGGCGAATCTGGGAGAAAGAAAAGTAGTTTTGTTGAAGGAAGGATAACGTGGAAGAAGGGGGGGGGGTAATGTGGAAGGAATGGCAGAACAGTGGAGGATACGAGAGGGAAAAGGGGGGGGGATATGATGGGGGGGGAAGCAAAAGGGTTACGAAGAAATGGGGGAGGAGGGTACAGTGTGAAACGTATGGGAGAAAAGTGGAGGGTACGGGAGAACGGGTGAAGCCCCCCCCCCCCATCTCCACAATCCCCAATTCTTGCAGTTTTCGGGGCTGCGTTCTGTAAGCCGAAAATTTATACTACGGCATGTGACCAAATGTGCTACAGAAGTTAACTCATCAAACATCCTTTCGTTTTTTTCGTATTTCAACTATTAGATCTGAGAAGACTAACAGAAATTACAAATCACTTTTGTCTTCAGTATTTCCTTACGTTAAATGTTCTTAATTATATGCCATATTGAAAGTCACCATCGCGTTTCATCGTCATGGCAACTGTTGTAGCACCAGATATATTGGTAGCATCATCTTCTTCGGTTACACAACATGGCTAATATCTTGCATAACAGTATGAATATGCTGTTGGCACATGTGATGTAATCAGAGCTAATACAGTATTTTAAGGAAGGGGTATGGACTTCTTGCATATTGTATACAGATATTTATTTACACAAGGTCGATGAAAAACTTCCATTATGAATAAAGTTCTGTTTCATAAATTCAAAAAGGAGATATAGGAATATACAGTACATGTACTCTCGTTGCGTAACACCCCAAGGCTACCAACTACTATTTTGGATGAGGAACCAACTCCTGTCCTTGATTATTTCTAAAAATCCACTAATTATAAATCCGGAAGTCCCTCCTTACGTTAAATCATTGTTACCGGTGATAACAAGCAATCTCCCAAAACTCGGAGAAGACGAGAGCAAAAAAAAAGAAAGAAAACTAAAAATTTGAGTGTACGACACGTTTTCCCGAACCAAGAAAAGACTCCGTGTGAATCAGCTGATCCCGTCAGACCGCCCGCCACCACCGAGGGTCGCGTCTCGCTCACCCACGTGTCGCTGCCGTTGTGTTGTTATAAGTGACTTTAACTTTTCGAGTGGAAGATGGACCAGACTAGGAAATCAAGACCTCCCAACCCTAGGGATACTGCAGGGATTGTGTCCAAAATGGTATTCTGGTGAGTAACGTTTGAAATTAGTGAAGTATGTGTGAAAATGTATATGTATTGTGTGTGTATGTGTGTGTGTGTATATATATATATATATATATATATATATATATATATATATATATATATATATATATATATATATATACACATGTATACAGATATATATATATATATATATATATATATATATATATATATATATATATATATACTTATATATATATGTATATATATATATACACATACATACACACAGACAGATATATTTTTAAGTATAATGTATATATACAATACTGCTATATATATACGTACACATACATACGCACAAGGGTGTGATGAATGTTTGCATATCGCTTAATTTGAACTGCGGTCAAAATAGATACTGACGAGTCAGTTTAGCAGCACTGGTTCATGTTTACGGTGGAATGTTGCTACACATCTGAATCTTCCTGCACAAGATGTGGAGTGGAACAGAATATTTGGGTATTGAGGTGTAACACGGATTTCGAGTTTCGATATTATTGTGGCTTGACATGCTGTATGACTTGTTACACCAGCTAAATTGCAGAACATCTTAGGTAACAGCTGCTACTCTAGGTCTATTCCGCAAGTGTTCAGGGGTAATGACACTACAGTTTCGTCATTGTCGGTGCCATACCGGTTTAGACAGTCCGTGAAATGTTACTTTTAACATAATGCATTCCAGATAGTAATTTTCGCCTAAGTAGAATAACTAAAGTTGACAGCAAAGACCTCCAGTACATTCACCGTCACTGTAATTCACATGCTTCGAAATATTCGCTGAATGACTAAATACGAAATCACGGCATTCTCACCAACAAACAAACCGCACCGAACATTGGACTTGACCTTTAAGGCTAAGTAAATCCATAGGAGGGTAAATCGATATAAGTGTGAGACCGGGGTTGCATTCACGAAGCCCCGCGATGCGATCGGTTGCTATGGTAACGGTCTTGAAGCCGCACTCCTAGTTATAAAGCCTTTTCTTTGAATGCGTGGTTATGTTGTTTACTGTTTTCATCATCCTGCTGCCGCTTTGGGTATCGTCTGCATGTTGATAGGAGTGTTATAGACTGTCTTCCTCTTTTCCGAAGGGGATGGTAGAATTTAATGGTGAATCGTACCACAGGCAGCGCGCGTGTTGGCCTGAGCCCCTGGCGTGTCATCCCATGTGGCGGGGTGTTTGGCGCCAACATTTGGCACCAGAAAGTGTGATATATCTTTAAATCTCGCATCAGAGCAGGGATTTTCAGCTAATTCTTGTTATTATTTCACTTTCCTTTTGAGGTGCGTAGGTCTACATTAATGCGTTAACAAGTCGATTGCTTGTTGAGTGGAAGGGAAATTTCGTTTTCATGCAAGGGAAAAACTGAGCTGGGAAAGTTGTGTAACGGGCACGTTGTTGCTCGAGTGAGGGACCTGGTTTCTCTCGGTCTTCCCTCTCTGTTGTCTTCTCCATGTCTCTCTTCATTTCTTGAACGTTATTTGCCACTGTCATCTCCTCCGTCCCTTCATCCGCTCATCCCCCTCTTATTTTCCGTCTATCTCTTCTCACCAGTTTTATTTCGTTCTTCTGTATTTACTATTTCTCCTTTCTTGACTCTCCTACCTCTCCCACTGTCTCACTTTATCTCTCCCTCCCTCTCTCTCTCTCTCTCTCTATCTTTCCCACTCTATCTCCCTCTCCCTCTCCCACCCCCTCTATCTATCCCTCTCCATCCTCCTCTCCCTCTCCCTTTCCCTCTCCCTCCCCCTCTTCCCCCCTCCCCTTCCCCCTTTCTCTCTCCCTCTCCCACTCCCTCTCCCTCTCCCTCTCCCTCTCCCTCTCCCTCTCCCTCTCCTTTTCTCGCTTCCTTTCTCTCTCCCTCTCCCACTCCCTCTCCCTCTCCTTTTCTCGCTTCCTTTCTCTCTCCCTCTCCCTTTCTCCCCTTCACTCCCTCCCTCTCCTCTCTCTCTCCCCTCCCCCTCCCTCTTTCCTCTCTCCTCCTCTCCTCTCTTCTCTCTCTATCTCTTTCTCTCGTTCTTTTTCTCTCTTTCTCTCGTTCTTTCTCTCTCTCTCTCTCTCTCGTCTCTCTTTCGTTCTGCTCTCTCTTTCTCCTCTCCTCTTCTCTCTCTCTCTCTCTCCTCTCTCTCTCTCTCTCTCTCTCTCTCTCTCTCTATATATATATATATATATATATATATATATATATATATATATATATTGAGAAAGATATGTATATATGTGTGTGTGTGTGTGTGTGTGTGTGTGTGTGTGTGTGTGTGTGTGTGTGTGTGTGTGTGTGTGTGTGTGTGTGTACATATGTATACATACACACACACACACATTATATATATATATATATATATATATATATATATATATATATATATATATATATATATATCTTTCTCTCTCAATTATTGTGTGTCACGCTCTCTTTGTTCGTGTTTCTCAGTATTTTCTTTAAGTATGGCCTTTTCTTTTTGTTTGTTTTTCTAGTTCTTTGTTTCTTTATTCTACTTATTTTCTCTCTGTGTGTCTACTTCTGGTTTGCATCTCCCTCTCTCCCCCGTTCCACTCCTTTCCGTCCTCACTCATTACTGTCACTTTATCATCATTATCATTGTTATTATCAGGACTGTATTACTACTATTATTATTATATTAGAACTGTATTACTATTATCATTATTATCTTAGAACTGTATTAGAACTTAGAACTGTCTGTACCTAGAATTGTATTACTACTATTATTATTATCTTAGAACTGTATTAATACTATTATTATTACCTTAAAACTTTATTAATACCATTATAGATTTATGATAATTATGTTTACGTCAGCAAATTTATCTTATCCCGTGTATTTTGAGTATATGAATTACAGTCCGATCTAGGTTTCCCGTCACCCATTCGGATTGTATTCTCCGGATTATGTTATGTTCTTTATCATCCGTTCCTCGACAGGAGAGAGCTTCCCTAATCTCTAATCCCGAATCGCGAAGCTCTAATCTTCAGTCTATTCTTTCTCGCGAATGAATCCCGAATCCCGAATCTCTGATCTAATTTTTTACGCCAATTAATCCCGAATTTCTAATCTCTTAATTATTTTAATTTTCGCGAATGAATCCTGAATCTCTATAATCTGCTTTTTTTCGCGAATGAATTCCGAATCCCGAAGCTCCAATCTGTTAATTCTTTTTTGCCTAATAATCCTTAATCTCTAATCTGTAAGCAAAGGAGTGAGAGAAAGAAAAATAGCAAGAGAAAGAGAAAAAGAGTGAAAGGGAAGAGTGAGGGTAAAAGAAAAAGAGTGAGAGAAAGAAAAAGTGATAGAAGAGAAGAGTGAGAGAATAAGAAAGAGAGAGAGAAACATATTGAAAGAGAAAAAATATGAGAGAAAGAGAAAAAAGAACAGAAAAAATAGAGAAAAAGAGAGAAAGTAAAGAAAGAGGAAGAGAGAGAGAGAGGGGGAGGGAAGAGAGAGAGGAAATGATACAGAAAATGGAAAAGAAAGAGAGAAGGGGGAAAAGAGAGAGAGAGAAAGAGGAAAAGAAAGAGAGAAAGAGTAGGCAAAAAGGTCAGCAGGTCCTGACCACATCAGCATACACATTCATAAAAGGTTTGCTGATTAGCTCGCTCTAGCCTTTTCCGGTGCTTTTCCAGACTTGTGTTTCACAAGGAAACTGGCTAACACTCTAGAAGAAAACACAGGTTGTATATGTACACAAAAGGAAGAGTCGAGGTGATGTGGGGAATTACCGACCTGTGTCACTCCTAAAATCATGGAAGCACTCATTGTTGACCAAATGATGGGCTTCCTTAAACGAGAGGCAACTCGGATTTAGGAAAGGACGTTCAGCTGCTGATATCGTATCACTATCTTCTACATGGAACCAAGCGCTAGATTTGGTCGTGTATAGCATCAAGGACTGCTGGAGAAACTGCAGGTCAATGCCATTAGGGGCAAAGTTCACAGCCTCCTCAGCAACTACCTTACTAGGCGATATCTCTACTTGGTTCTGAATGGCACATCCTCTCGAGAACCCTTTTAACCAGGAAGAATGGGCAGAAGTTCAGCATATTGTCCAGCAACGAGTGGTAGACATTACTAAGTGGGGTCAAAGATAGCAATTGCTCCTGAAAAGACCTAGATGATAATCATATCTAAGCTTGGAGAAAACCCCTGTCTTGAGCTGTCTGTTAATGGTGAAACATTATCAGAAAAAAAGGATCATTGAGGTTTTAGGTATAAAATTTGACGAGCTGAGCATCAAGGCACATAGGAAGGATTCGGCCCGGAAAGCTGGCTGCTCTCCGACGCATCTCTTCTTCTTGGGTCTTGAGGGTTGCAAGATCACCTACGAAGTACAAGTGAGACCTGCCCTCGAGTATGCTCCGCTTACATGGATCTCCTGCCCTGCCTCAAACCTCAGCCTCCTCGACAAGGTCGACGAGCAAGCGAGACACATCATCAACAGATAGAGTGATGGAACGGGAATCATAGGTCCAGCTGACAGTCCCCGTCGGGACGTGGCGGGGGTCACTGCACTGGACAAGGCTACATTTTAGGACACTCCCTGGCTCTCGGCTCTTCGAGGAATTCCGATGCGACGAACCAACGCCACTAGGGGCGTTCCAGAAGAATATAGTCTTTGTACCTCGGTCCAGAACCTCCCTCCCTTCATGCCTCGAATGACAAGGATCTGGAATGTTTTTATTACGTCTATTGACTCACTGGAACAGTTCGACACAGTCAAAGTCAAGATTAACAGATGTATGTTATACAGTATTTTAGATATGTACACTAGATAAACTATATTTTCATTCAAGTAATATGCCATGTAAACCACATAAGGGGCTTTATATATGTGTGTGTATATATATATATATATATATATATATATATATATATATATATATATATATATATATAAAAAAAGTTTTTAGGTTAACTTTTGGATAGATAGACCAGAAATGTGATATCTTTAGATAAATGAATAT